TATATATAAAAAAATATGAACGTTTTCTGTTCGATTTTCGAGCGTTTTACAAATTTGTTTTCTGGTTCCTTAGCGAGAAAGTCGACTCGTACGTACATACGGTGTGCAAGGATCACCAAAAAGAAGTTCGTCACGGTGTGTATCGTTGATCATCCCTCGACTTATACACGTACATCGTGAATTCCCGATATGGCGTCGCGCTCCCCGTCGATCCCCGCGCCCCGCGACGTTCCCCGAGCCGATCCCCGCCCGGAGCGACCGACCGCGAACACCGTTGCGTGTAGGAACTATGTATTCGAGCGCAACGAATGCGGCTGATCGGTCGACTCGATCCGAGACGAGGAAAGGACTCTATCCATTATTCCCGAAGTTACCATTACAATTCTCACGCGTAAGGCTGCGGCATCGACGTCGGCGACGATGAGACGCGAGACGCGTCCTCGACTCCTCATTTTCCCATCTTCCTTGAAATATATTACTCGTTTTCGGCACAGCTTCGTTGCTCCTTTCCCGGGAGGCGTTCGCAGGAAAGGAAATGCTTGGCTTATGTTCCGTTTCTTCTCCTTTCTCTGTTTTTCGTTTTTATTCCTTTTTTCTTCTTTTTCGCTTTTGTTCATCGTTGGTACTCGCGTGACTTATCTTTCTCTCTCTCTCTCTCTGCGGGGGACGACGTTTATATACAATTCAAGTGTTAACTTACTAATTATAGGATTCGTCGTAGACATTAGGCAAGAAGCGAACGTTCTAGATGAGCCCGTCGCGTTCGGCCGCGTGCCGCCGCTCGAACGCCAAGGTACCCGGAAGTAGGACACTTATTGTCACTGTACAGAGTTACTCTGAGCGCGAGCTGCCTGCATTGAGCGTTCCCCGGGGATCTCTGGCCTAGGAGACGGTGGTCCTAGGGAAGGAAGAGACCGGCGTATCAAAATTGTTTCTCGAGTTCGACTACCTCGGTGTAGGCGTACCCTAGCGTTCGGAACGGCGCCACGGGCCTCCGGTAAAATCGCTGACGCTCGTGCATGGCGTATTAAGACTATCTGAAGCGCCCCGTTCCCCGTTTCTCGCCCTCCATCGAAACGCTCCGAGCATTGTACTGCACTTCTTTGATACTAAATTAATGGTTCCCTGACCGCGTCCTTGTTCCTGACTTGTAGAGCCTGCGTTCGAGTACCAAGAAGGAAAAACCGTAGAGCAAACTTTCGCGGGGATCTTTTGTCACTTGCTTTTCGACCGGGAATCGTCCGAAAACGTGTTCTCTTCCGCTGCGCTGATATGTATAATTTACAGGTCCGATTCGCCGTACAAAGCGGTGGAGAACGAGCGGTAGTCCAGCGCGCCGGGCATGGCGTTGGGTCCTTTGTAAGGCGGCATTCTTTGAATGCAGTACTCGGCCTGGTCGGGCGGTAGCTCTCTCCTCAGCTCGTCCGCCATGATGTACGGCTGCAACAAAGCGTTTTGGGATATATCCAATGTCATAGGATCTCCTAGACTCTGTAGTAGTAGTAGTAGTAACACGTTTGCAGACAGTAAAAATTTTAAGGAACCATAAAAATAGAAAAAACCTAAATACTGTACTCCGAGGGTTAAAGTGTATAATAATTTGAAAAATTAAGGCTAAGAATTAAATTCATGACCATGTGGTTTATAAATTTCATTGTTACAGCATTCATTTTGCATCACAATGAAAGTGAATGCTATAGCATTCACATCCAACGTGTCAACCCTTTGCACTTGACTCTAGTCACCATTTGATTTGATCCAGTGAAACTATGAAATCTGATATTTAATGTTGAACTTTGTATAACGCCTCGATACGTGGAATATTGGAATAAACTAGCTTTGTTCCTCAATGTACTGATTTCCCTTAGAGTTAAAGAACATCGCCTATTATATATTATAAAAAATATATAATATTTCTAGTGAATTTATATATATAAAAAATAATATTTCCAGTGAATTTATATATATAAAAAATGTTAAATATTTCCAGTGAGAAACTTCCGAGTGCAAAGGGTTAATAATGACATCAGCGTCTCTGTCGCGCGTGACAGAGGGCATGCACGAACCTTGTCTCCAGCAAGGATGCGGAAGCTGTCGATGACCTGTTCAGCCGTGTCGGTATCCGTGGACTCGCGCGTCATGAAGTCCAGGAACGCGTCGAAGTGCACGTAACCAGAATTATTAGGATCGACGATGGCCAGTATACGTTGGAAGTCGATGTCACCTTGCCTGTCCTTGCCGATCGAGTAGCCCAGAGACACCAGGCAAGACTTGAATTCGTCAGGAGCCAGTCTGCCCGTTCGGTTCTTGTCGAAGTGATTGAAACTGCTGCGGAATTCGTTAAGCTGCTCCTGCGTGATACCCTGCGACACAGAAAAATGTATACGTGAGGCTAATCATCCTGAACCATCGTTAACCTCTTAGGCACGACGCGCCTAAGTTAAATTACGTGTATCATATCTTTAAGAAAAATTATAATTTAATCAGAACAGAGACGACGAAGAGGTAGCTGAGGTCACCTTGGAGTCTCGGGTGAGGATCTGGTTCTCAACTTCGTTGATGTTGCGGTTTATCGAAGTCAGAAGCTGTTCCCAGCCGACTCGCAACGTCTCCATTGTGTACTGAGTGTACCGGTTCTCGAATATCATGCCTTCTTGGACAGCTTGGTGAATCTTCTCCAGTTCCTCGAGGTGGGCCTTGTACTGGTAGACCGCCTGCTCGTACTCCTTCAGACGGTGCAGCTGGTCTTCAAGAGTACCCTGAACAATCCAACAACATACTTAGCACATACATTCATGGGAGATCTATGGGAGACGACGATGAAAAGGACCACTCACCTGAAGACCAAGGCCAATAGCTGTTACAGCGTCCAGCTGACGTTCTATCCATGGACCAACGGCGTTGGCCTTCTCAGCGAACTGTCGTCGAAGCAGCTCGTTGTCTATTCACTGGATTAAGGAACTATATAACCTACACTCTTACCAATTCTCTGTAACATGAAGTCATTGGCAAAAGGATACTCTGTTGTTTGCGAAGTTCCGCTTGCAGTGTACCGTCGCGCTGTGGAACGAGTTGCCTGACATCGCTCCATTTCTTGGTAAGGTCCTGCGTATATTAAAATATATAATAAATCTGAAAGTTTCAGCAGTGCACAGTAAGGAAGTTACATCATCATTTACCAGTGCAGTGAGCGTGGTGTACGGGTTCTCCAGACCACCGGGGATCTGGAACTGTTTGACTATAGACTCCACCTCGCGGACCAGTCCCACGATGGAGTTGTACTCTTTGTCAGCTTCCCCGAGGGTCGCCTTGAAGGCCGCGTGGGCGTCCATCAGGCCCTGGATTTCCTCCATGGTGTGGACGATGAACATGTCCACCAAGTCCTCCCTGGTTCCATCCAACCAGTTGTTGAACGGCTGCACCGAGGAAAGAAGCAAAGAATGAAACACTGGACAAGGGGACGCGAGAAATGGGAACTTACAGCAGCTCGCTTGGCGAACTCGAGATGAAGGACGTCAATCTTCTCTAGGATACGCTCGGCTTCGTCCAACGCCTGGCGTCTGCGCTGGGTGAGAGTACCCAGACGATCCCACTGGTCGCAGATTCGTTGGCATCTGGCGTTGACGGACGCGCTGTCGTGATATTCCAAGGTGCTGAACAGAGGACGATCAACGTTAATCACTGCCAGGTGGAGTTACAGGGTATCGGATGAATATTTTTGATTGTGTTTACTTGAGCTCTTGCGCGATAGCAGCTATCTGTTCGACGCGGTCCTGGTGGGCCGCGAGGTCGGACTCGAAGGCCTCGTGCTTCTTCTTCAGAGCCTTCAGTTCGTTCAGTTTGCACTGTCGGAAGTGCTGCGACGTGAGCATCTCCTCCTTACCCGCGGTCCATTCCTCGTGGGCGTCTGCTTTGTGCTTGAACTTCTGGGCAAGATGCTCCAAACGCTCCAGCCGCATCATCTCCGACAGCAGCCATTCTTCGAACGACTTCTCTGCCAGCTCCAAACCTACGGATACCATGATTTGTCAGAACCAATTATGCGGACCTTGATACCTCTGTCAATCGTCTTAGCCTTTGCTTCTCTAATTTGTTTCTCTGAATGCATTTGTTTCTCTGAATTCGTTTGTTTCTCTACATTAGTTTCTCTAAATTTGCTTCTCTGAATTCATTCGTTTCTCTAAATTAGTTTCTCTAAATTTGCTTCTCTGAATTCATTTGTTTCTCTAAATTAATTTCTCTAAATTTGCTTCTCTGAATTCAGTTTTTACCCTGAATTTATTTTTCTGAATTCATTTGTTTCCCTAAATTTCCTTCTCTGATTTCATTTGTTTCCCTGAATTTATTTCTCTCAATTCATTTGTTTCCCTAAATCTGTTCCTCTGAATGCATCTGTTCCCCTGAATTTATTTCTCTAAATTGATTTGTTTCCCTGAATAGATTCGTTACCTTTCCAAGCCTTGTTGATATCCGAAACCATTTTCCCTTCCGTCGGCATGTACGCGGGTCGATTGCTCAGTCTCAGCTTCGTTTGCAACGTATTGAAATTCGTTTCGAGTTTGGCCTTCTGTTCAACGCGTGGCGGCTTATGCTTGCGACGATACGTTCTGTACTCCTCCAGCTTCTTCTGGCAACCGGCTAGGGAATTGTCCGTCTGACGGCTGGCCAGCCATGGCATCGTTCGCCGTATCCACTCCAGCAGGTCGGAGGCCAGTCGCTCGTACTCCTCCATCAGCCTCTCGTTCTCCTGGTTCACTTTCAGAACCTTGCAGATCCTGTTCGCGGCTGTCTCCGCCTATTGCGCAAATCGACCATCTTAGTTTCATCGAATTAACATCTGCCGACGTGCACTGTCGCTCAAACTTAAAGATCATCAGCTTTCTAACCGTTAAGGACTCGAGTCACGAGTACTGAATTATACTAATTTGTACTAATCGAATGATCACTCAGTGACAGGACTAAAAACGTTCTGATGACCAACTAAATGACTGACTGACTGAACTCTCTGATGGAGGTTTTCTGAATTTGTTCCTTGCTCCTGATGGAACACTAACATATCACTAAAAACTACTTGGTCACTTATTCGGTGAACAATGATCCTTCAAACATTTCTTGACTGACAGCGCACGTCTCTCGTTAACACGTTCGCTACCAGCACATATTTGTGACGGCAATCCAATATTTTACATAATAAAAATGAAATGAATTACAGATATTGTTATTAGAAACTATAAACTACATTATACTTAGGAACTCAGTGACTCATTTCAGTTTCATTTTTCTAACATCTTCTACAGATTCATTAGATTGAAGGAAATTGACACCGTCACCGAGATAAGCGCTGACAGCGAACGCGTCGAGGTTCACACGGTTCAGTGGCTAGGAGTAGAATACTTGAACGGTAGCTCGTTACTGGTTAATCTCAGATGCAAGAACACACACCTTCTGCGCGCCGCTAAAACAGTGGTAGTAGGAGGAAACGTAGGTCATCACAGCCCTCTCGTCAGGCATTGCTGTGTTTCGCATATCTAGAAAACACACATTCAAAGGAGTCTCAAACCATGCGTTGTTAGGTCCGGGTTAGAGCTGGCCCACCGCCTAACCGATTTACTCTTCGTCAAAGGAGGAGAGTCTGAATCGGCGGGTGGACGATCGCTGACACGTCTTGGATCTATAACGAGTGCCACTACTTAGAACGGTACAGTGAACTCGTCGGACGGACGGTACAGAGATGAACGATAGAAACGTATACACGTGTGCCGAGACAAGCGAAACAGTTTAGACTTCCAGCTTACAGTCTGCCCTGAGTATTTAGTCTCGGTGAAGCAAAGTAATTGTCACGGGTTGCGGTCAATATGGTGAACACGATCAAACGGTGTTAGACAGTAAGCTAATGGTACGAGAGGACCCGCACACTTTCCGTTTAATCGTACAACGACTCGCGCAGATCTATTCTAAACAGTTACCTAGTTACCTACGCATCAAATAGTTTCAACTTTTTATCTACCAGTATTCAAATCAAATGTTCAACACCAACGTTTATCTACCAAAATGTTACTAGCCCTTATTGACTATATTAACACATTGAATGCAGTACGATTTCATAGAGCAAAATACATGAAAATAACTTGATTTAACGCTTTATCTACCAGTATTCGAATCAAATGTTCAACACCAACATTTATCTACCAGAATGTCTTCAGACTAGCCCTTATTAACTATATTAACACATTGAATGCAGTATGATTTCATAAAGCAAAATACATGAGAAAAATGAATATTGAATAACTTGAATTGCATTATGATTACACGTGTCAGCTGAATGTCAGCACATTAAGTATTCTTTAGAATATATCAATCTTCAAATGATCATCGTTACTGGCTACAATTCACTTTGGAGTCACTGGTGACAGCATCAACGTGTTAACATTGTACTAATTATTCCTCTCACATTACAATCTCTCCTTACTTAAATATGTTCAATTCCCTTCTTTCTATAGACCAAAGCGTTACATTCATATACAAGGTAAAGCGTTAACTCTTCATTCTTTCAGTAGTTCCAGCTCGTTGTACGATTAACAGGCAATACGCGCGAGTCCCTCCATTGGAAGGTAGCGACGGATCACTTCGGTAACCAAAGTTAGGGGGAGCAACACGCATTTCTTTCCGCTGACCTGCTGAGCACCTTGGAACGCGTGGTAGTAGCAGGACACGTACGTCATGATTGCACGCTCGTCCGGCTTGGGTGTGTTGATCAAATCTATACGGTATCAAGGGAACAATGCATTAAAGAATCTGATTGGTCTAACGACGCTGCGGGTGGCCGGCTGAATGCTTGGCATCATTAGAAGAGACCGACTATCGGACGAGCGACGATAACAATAGAGAATAATAATATGGTGAAAACCGCGGTGTCGTTCGTGTGGTGGCGAATTTCAACGGAGAAAACGTATTTACCGTCGGGATCTAACATGCGAGGAATGTCGAGATACTTCTCAGCAACGTCGAAGGCAGTGTTCAAATTCTCTAAGGGGTTATCCTTGCTAAGCTTATTGTAATCGATCAGGTCGGGACGATGACGGTGGATCAGGGCGCAGAACGCCAGCCCGTCCTTGAACGACAGATGGAAGTTCTGCACGTTCACGTTCTTGTACGGCGCCGTCTTCCGTTGACACCACAACAGCAGACCCTCCTTGGCGGTCATCTCCTCCACGGAGATGTCTTGGATGGCGAACCGCAGGATTATGGTCCAGATCATGCCGAGGGTCATCTTCAGGTTGCCGTCGACGATTTCTGAAAGGAACGCTCGTCAGAATTCTGCGGGCACTGTTCTGGCTGATTGTTTAACACATTCGAGACGGTTTTTTCGAACACGGTCCTCAGGAGCGAAGGATATAAGAACATTATTATTATTATTATTATTGCACGGTGCAATCGGTCTCGAATGGGTTAACGCTGGGACTACCGGGTAAGACTATAGTTTTGTATGGTTTTATAATTATCAACATCAAAATTCTTAAAATTCTTGGTCTTGAAATTATTGAACATATAGATAATATAAATACAATAATTTTTATATACTTTTTGTACGTCTTCTTTCACAATCATTGGAAAGATAACTGATGTTTCTCTGCGAAATAACTAGAGAAATTTATTTAGTAATGCGCAAAGTGAATTGTGAATCAATTGAAATTGAAATAGACGTATTCTTAGTGTCTAGAGAAATTGAGAGAATTCCCACTGCTCGGTAATTCCAGTGTTAATCAGTGATCAATTAGCACTAGAACTAGCAAATGGGTAAAAATGACCTTGACTTTTTCTTTTGCAATTATTAAAAAGGTACGAACACCTCTTTGAGAAGCTGAAATTTAAACCAATGGAAATCTTAATAAATCCACATTTTTGTAATGAAATTTTCGAAGGTCAGTTTAAGTGCTCGGTAGTTCTAGTGTTAACGAAGACTGCTCGAACGATCTTCTATGCAGTAACATTCCCTAGGAAGATTCTCGTTTGAAAAACAATGAAAAGTTCCTCCTCGCTAGGGCGCGACCGTTAAGCAGCTTATTTTCAGGCTTCCAGCGGGATCAGGACAAACAGGAAAGAGAACCAACCCTCTGCTCCGATCGAGACCAATTTAACGCCCTTGCTGGCGATGTAATCCAGTGCTTTGTTCACGTTCGCGATCTTGTGGAACCGCATCTTGCCCCTGTCCGGTCTCGGCAGGGTTTCGCCGGAGATCACCTCCAGCAGCAGCATCAGCTTCAGCCCGTTCCTGAAGTCATCCTCGATCGATTCGATGGCGGTCCCGGCTTTACGGAGATGCGAGTTACACCAGGCTGTGAATGTCTGCGAACGAAAGTGATAAAATCGGTCAATCGAACGATTCATCGACAACACATTCGCTACCAGCATCGCGCGTTCACAACGATGGCAATTCACAATTCGCGTAGCAAAAAGTGAAGTCACTTTCAAACGGTGTATTCGAGAAAATATCACGTAACGAGTTAAGAAATTGGAAAACTGGAATACTAGGGAATTTGGTAATTAGGAGCCTAATTAGTCTAGACTATGAAGACCAAACTCGAAAGAAGTTGCTGGTAGCGAATCAAGATCATCGGAACAGCCGCTGAATTTCCTTTAAAAACCTTTTTCTCCGCAACGGTTCTTCGATGTTCCGTTCATTTTACGCTCGCGTATTGCTAGCTTGATCGGCAGCGATTTAATTCGTCGCGGACGACCGGGCGGACGGTAGGGTTCGATTTCTGAGTTCATTTGGAAGCGAGATAGGAAAAGTGATTGGCAGTTCAAGGCTGCATAAATTAGCCCTTTCCGAGCTGGCGTCGCGGGCCAAGTGTCGCCGACTGTTTTACTGCCGCCGCGCGGAAATTTCTCATCCTCCGCAGGGTCGTCCAAACCGACCGACGTCTCGGGAATGATATACAAGTACACAAATACCGCGACGCGCGGGTTGCGCCAGCCCGTTTCCCGGAAATCCCCGTAGGAAACGCCGCGGGAACGGTCCGCGCGTGGACCGCGTTTTTTTTCGACACCGGGGCCGATTAAATAACACGACACCGGGCAAGACTTTATGACCAAGAAGAATTTAAAATGGGGAATTGAGCTTGACTGCTGCTTAGTGTATATTTTAGTAACGACCCCAATCCCACCTGCTATATATATCCCCTGTCCTGGTTCTTAAACCGTGCTTCCTATCGCTCGCGCCGAAAGATTTTCGAACCCTTGATATCTCTAGCTCCGAAGACCGGTCGCCGATAGCGGGCAATCGCTTCGATCCATTATGGAACACCCAGAGAAGCTCCTATGACTTCCATTTTATCGAACCGAGTCGATAAAATCGTATCATTAACCTCAAAACGTGAGAAAAACAGGATTTACGCAGTTCCGGAGCCGAAGGACGTTGGACGCTTCGCTGGAGTCTCTTCGGTTTTCCGTGTTTCTCTTCTTATATTTTCATTGAATCAATGATGTATCATTTAAATAAGTTTCTCGGATAACGACCGAACAGGAATGTCGAGAAAACGGATAAAAAGAATCCCGATTTTCGATGTATTTCAGCGAAAACGCAGCGATTCGGTAGATAATTAAATGGCGGCCGATTCCACGGACAAAATGGCGGCCCGAGGCGCGCGCGGCAGCGAGGTCGCGTGAAAAATGCTGTATCGGCGGGCCGCGAATTCTTTTCCTCGGTTCTTTTTTTTCCATGGAAACGCGGCGAGAGAGAGACGGCGCAGAGAAAAATATTGGGTGAAATTTAATACGGGCGGCGTGAAGCGCGACCGGCCAAAATTGGACATGAGCCACCTTAACTTCTACGAGACCGCTCTAAGATCTATTTGTAAAACATCGACTCCTCCCGCGCCGAGGCGGCCGAGCATCTCGAAAACATCCTGCGGGATCGTTCACGGGCCCATTACCGCGTTACGATTTATCGTGCCGTTGAATTCTACGACTTTCCGGCCCGGCGAATCGTAAACCCTGCACGCCGATAATCGTAACGCGCGCGCCGAGAGCGTGCGGTCGTTGTAGCGTCTCGCGGGAGATCTCTATTTCGCGTGTTATTAACACGTTATCTGTTGGCGGTTGTTGAACAGTTTGTCGGATTAATAATCGATGAGGATTTCCTCGTCGGACTTTCGAAGGCGATAGTGTTCGCAATCCTGAGTCGGTACCGAGTCGCGGAATCTAGTTATTGTTTCGAGGCGAGAGAAATTTTTTAATTTGAAGTTCTTTTGCTTTATAATTTTGTAAGCTTCTAATCTTCTCATCTATGGGTTCCTAATTCCCTAATTTTATAGTTTTCTCTTCTGTGAGCTCCTAATGCCTTGATTTTCTAGTTTTCTCATCTGTGAGTTCCTAATTCCCTAATTTTATAGTTTTCTCATCTGTGAGTTCCTAACTCTCTAATTTTCTAGTTTTTTCTATGAGTTCCTAATTCCCTAATTTTCTAGCTTCCTCATTCACGGGTTCCTAATTGCCTAATTTCCTAACTTTCTAGCTTTCTAATTCCTTGGTTCCTAATTCCTTAATATCCTAACTTTCTCAGTCTTCTAATATTTACGTTCCTAATTCCCTAATTCCCTAATATCCTAACTTTATCAGTCTTCTAATCTGATTGCCCAGCCTCCAATAATTTCCTAAATCCTTTGACACTACATTCCTATATCTCAGCAATGTTTACAATACAATACACAGATTCAAGTTAACCAAACATCCGAAATCCACTTAAGTTACTCGTTGATTCGAATCATTCGTCTGTCAAAGCGATTCCTCCGTAAAACGAAGAATCAGACGAACCCGCTGCAATCTCGACAGAATAAATAGCCAAAGTTAATCATTTCCACCAACGAACTATCCAATTATTCCCGCCGATCGCTTTTTCAAGATCACGCGTCGTCGAGCGTCGAATCGTCGTCGCGTTCGTCGCGAGGCGATCGAAATTCTTCCACGCAGCAGAAAAGTGGCGATCGCCGCGTAAATCGTGGCAGATCAAGTGAATTCGCTGATAAATTCGTAAAAAAGCGACCGCGGCCGATCCGGAAGAGCTCGCTGCCGGGCGCCGCGAGGCGAGCGCGAATTCTGCTCCGAAAATACGTTTCGCGGGAATCCGCCGCTGTTCCGTGACGCCGTCCCTTGCCGAACAACGCGATTTCGCCGGTGTTCACGGCCGGATCGGCTCCGCTCGAACGGTGAGAATAACAAGTTACATAATAATCGCGGGAGCGGTTCATTAAGCCACGAATTTCATGCGCGGCGGAAACTTGGAACGCGCCGGGAGGAATTTTAACGAATTTCGACGGAGTGTTTCAACTATTTCTGATTTCGATCGCGCTCTGACAAGATTGTCTTATAGTTTCACGCTAAATTCACGGACGTTCGCAGTTTGATCCATCGTTTTTGACAAAACCGATGTTCCTTTAGATCTCGGCGATTGGAAGTTTCAAGGTAGAAACTTACACATCAATCGAAATCGATATGGACATTTACCGAATGTTTAGAGAATTCAACACGCGTCGAATCTGTTCAGATCGTCGATGGAAATAGATTTGAAGAGGCGACGAGACAAGAAACGCGCCACTGCATCGTGCAGAACGAAGTCCGATGCAAGCCGTTATCAACAATTTGCAACTTCTATGTGAGCTGTCCACTAATATCAACGTCGGACGCGTTGATTACGTTGCTAATTAGGCGCAAGCGGAATGAAACGTGTCTCGCATCGTCTGTCCATCGGACAATGCTAATTAGTCGCGACGCTTGCGTTCCGCTGGTTTATCCGAATGGTCGCCTAGGATCCTTCACATTATTCACAGAATACATTTCTTCGATTCACTACTCCAACTAGAATATACAGGTCATTGCAAATAAATGCATCCTACAGCTCGTTGAAGATCAAGCAATGATTTACTGCACAAATCGCAAGAACAGTCACGTTTTTCACAAATCTCTTTTTACTCCCCTAATGAAAATAATCCAGTCAAACAATTTCCAATCTCAATATTCAACTTCAACAGTCTACCAACCGCAAGCCTATGAATCAAGTTACCAAATTCAACCGCTAAATAATCGACAACTCATCAAACCCCCGCCGATTCCAAAGAAAAGGAGTCAGAAAGTCGCAACGAGACGCTTCGATTCGAAAGTCGCGAAGCTCCGCGAGCGAGAATTCGCGTTAGCACGCGACCACGGAAACCGTGCTGCTAGTTAACATAATGGCAGATAATGCGCGAAGACAGTCCCAAGACTTGGCAAGAAACAACTCCATGCGAAACATCGTACAGCCGTTATTCTCATCGAGCAGGGTGTCAACAGGTCCGCGCAGAAAATTCGAGCAGCCGAGTAAAGATCACTGGCAGATCTCAGCCAGCGTTGAACCTTGGCCGACTGCGGCGACCGTTGCCACCGGGGAGTGTTAATTAACCGAATTAAACATGGAAACTCATATGCCCCCGACGCGGACGGCCGTCGGAGGGGTTCAACCGTCGAGTCGGTGCCACCTGCTCCGAAACTCGCGGCGCACCTGCCCCTTCTGCCCTCGCCCTCGCCCGTTTCCCGCCGTTGTTTCGTAAACACGCGGCAACGGCGGCTTGCTAAAAGCATCTCCCCGGCGGCCGGATAAATGATTCTCGTAAATATCCTTTACGGCCGCTTTGTCGCAAGATTGTTGCGCGCCGCGGCCGGAGCACCGTGCCAATCCCGACGCGACGAGACGCGACGCGACGCCTCGGCCGGTGGATCACGATTCATACCGGCGGATCCTCTTTCGGATCCGTTGCGTATTTCAGGGAGACGGCGACGAGCCACGGACGGGCCGGATCGTTAATTAGACGACGCCGACGATCCGCGGCCGTTGTTACGGAGATTTATTCTTTGCGCCGGGACCGCAATGGCGGCGCATTCTGCGTCGAGACCCGAAATTCGGCTGTTCGATGGAAATTGAAGGTTACCGATGCGTTGCTAGGTAATTCTTGTACGAAATGATTTTCACATGAAGGAATGAATCCTGCTTCTCTATTTATATAACGGAATTGAAATGGAAATCCATTGTTCTTTGGAAAACTTGGTAATGAAAATAAAGATTGATGGCCGCAATGGCGGCGCATTCTGCGTCGAGACCCGGAATTCGGCTGTTCGATGGAAATTGAAGGTTGCTAATGCTGAGTAATTCTTGTATGAAATGATTTTCATTTGAAGGAATGAATCCTGCGTCTTGAAATGGAAAATGTCCATTGTTCTTTGCAAAACTTGGTAATGAAAAGAAAGATTGATCTCGAGCGTTGTTACGGAGATGATTTTCGTTTGAAGGACAATTTGAGGGAATGAATCC